AATTATAACTCAAGCCTTTACACTATCCTCTGTCTCCCACTACTAAATACACCTCTATATCACATAGTAGAAAAACAAGTAAACGAGCTGCTAAGATTTTCAAAACGCTTAATTCTGCACTCTGTCGGCACCATCACTATCGTACGGCTCTTCCTCGGACTCGGAGGCGGACTCAGAGTCCGAATCATACGCAGACATATCCCCATTCTCGCATTCATAAAGGTCCCATATATGACCGGCGTCCCTGCACTTTGCGCCGGCTCTAGAGCAAGACGAGCAAATGAGAAACTGGCCTCCGGCGGCGCAGACACAGTGATGACATTGTTGGGATCGCCCCCGCACGCCGTGTATTGTACATCTCCCACACACGTCGCAATAGCAAGTCTGGCTTGTAAATAGGGCATGGGGATGAATAGGCGTGCCAACATAAGACCGCGCATCCATGCCCAAATCTCGAGCATAAGATTCGAGGCGATTCTTGACTTGCGGGTTCTTGCACAGCGCAGCCCAGTACAGAGCACCTTGGCCCCAATTATCTCTATCATGCAGTACGTCCCACTGGTTGACAAATGGAAGAAGATGTTCTATGAGTGCCAGATGACCATTCCGTGCGGCCATGATGAATGGTGTCGCCCCATACCTATCTGTGGTGTTGAGTGCAGGAGGGGAATGGTGTGTGAGGAGCGCTTCGACAACAGATTGATGGCCAAGCATGACGGCATAAAAGAGAGCTGTTCGACCGTCCAAGTCTTGCTGGTCCAGATCAACACTGCCGGTACCAAGAAGCTCACGTATGATATCGGCATGCGAGCCAATAGCCGCTAATAAGGCTGACTCGCATCCCGATTTGTTGGTAGCCTTGATATTGGCACCTTTTATAAGGAGCATACGGACCACTTTGAGGGAGCCAAACTGTGCTGCGGCGAGTAGTGGAGTGCATCCATCGTTGTCTGTCATCTCCAAATCACAACCACAGTTTAGGAGATGCTCAACGATCCACTCTTGACCATGACGGGATGCTAGCAGCAGTGTCCGATCACTGGATAGCTTAGGATTTGCGCCCCGTTCAAGAAGAAGACGGACCACATCGAAGTTGCTGACCTCTGCACTGCTTTGGAGAATCGTTAATCCGTCATTGCTAACAGCAGATAAGTCAGCCCCCTTCGCCAATAGAGCATCGATGATCTCTGCAGATTTGTCACACTGCGGCACCATGTGTAACGGTTGAAGGCCGCTCCTATCAGCCGAGGAGACGTTGGCTCCAGCCTCGATGAGCACCATGATTGTTTCAGGGTGATTGCCCTTCATAGCCATGTGCAATGGGGTGTCGTCCCCTTCATATTGAGCATCAATATCAACTCCGCACTCTAGCAGAACCTTAACCATCTCGACGTTACCATACTCGGCAGCCACTGTGAGGGGGAACCGCCCATCTGGTGCAATATTCGGGTTGGCACCATGCTGAAGAAGCAGTTTTATTAGAGTAGGCGAGCCAGATGCTGCAGCCGCATAGAACAAAGATGCGGGTATTGCTTTGCTCTTGGTCATGCCTGTATTTCTGCTGCTCTGTAGTATTGCTTCTACGGCGAGCGGCTGATTTCTCCGTACAGCTTCTGCAAGCGGCGAATAGTCTTCGACACCAAGGCAGCCTGCGTCTGCGCCATGTTCCATAAGTAACTTAATCACCTCAACCTTGCCTTTGATCGCAGCGAAGTACAACGGCGTTCCGTCGATATGATGGCGAGCTGAGACATTGGCGCCAGCCTTCAGCATGACAGCGACAGATTTGACAGCACCCAACTCAGAAGCCTGGTGCAAATATGTCTTGAGCATGCTATCAATTGGTTTTGAAGGGTCTAGGCCATTGTCCACAAGTACCTGTATCACTTCTGCGAGATCGTTCTCGAGTGCAACAGTAACGGCAG